CTTTATAGAACCATTTAGACAAAAAGGTTCTTCTATGGCATCGCTTGAAGAACCTTTTGAAGCACCTTTATTTTTAAGAGTGTAAATGTTAAATGAAGGTTAGGTACTGTAGGTACTTTGCAAAAGGAGCTTTATACAAGCAATCATATAACAGACATATTTTAATGGCAGGTTTAATAGAATAATAGAAATATATAGATAGATACTACTACAGATACTACTGTTTTTTATTGAAATATATATGTACTGTATATAGTGTACTTACAACAGTTGTGCAGGCCATCAGCAGTTCACTATATCACAGTATCACCTCTGTATAAGCGTGTAATTTATATGAATAATTTTTTTACTGTACATTTTTGGGTGAACCGCTTTCATCATGAAGTAATTTTTCCTGGTTGTTTAAAACTTCTCTAGTGCTGTTGTGCGAGACACCCAGCACAATGGTGTATAATTCAATCATTAATGTACGTCAGAGCTCTTGGCAACAGCAGGCAGTGTCTCTCTTCGTTGTCACCATGCAAGGACAGATACTGCATATTCAGCCTTATTGTGTCACTGATGGTCTGCGTAGGATGCACGATGATTCTGTGCCGTGCACGTTACGTGTTCATATGTGAGTTATTACTAGTGCTGCAAAAAAGACTATGGTAAATCTCTAAGCATGTCAGGGAGCAGGGTAGGCTAATCAGGAATACAAGTAATTATTTGTGTGTGGCATGACATGACACTAAAACTGTTGGAAATAAGACTTTTTATGTAATAATTACAGTTTCCTACATTTTATTCACTGGGTTCCCAGTGGGAAAGGATTACAGTTTGAGCAATCCCAGATAGCACACATATAGTACATCTCCAAGATGCCTGTTAAAGAGCATTCATCTGGAAAGCATCATCTGTTGTGTTCACTTAAGTGAGCACTTAACTGTATCCTGATGACTCTTTGCAAAAAAAACTCTTCTCCTGGGCTTTTGCTATTTCTTAAATCCCTCCATGTTCCAGCTTGTACTATTCTAGATGATGTTTGAAACTTTCAATTGCTAGCACTTCTCGTGTTGTTGCCTCCTTAAGATGAATCACTTGTTGTATTCCTCAACTGTTGCTTTGGATAAAAGCATCTGCTAATGAATCTTAAGTTTTACATGCATCCTAAATTATTAAAATCTTAAAGACAAAGACTGAAGTTTTCTAAATGAGTATTTAACGTGACAGGAAACATTTTAGAGACATGTTGCAGATGAGCAAATGCTTTAAAGGGGTCATATGATGCGATTTCAAGTTTTCCTTTCTCTTTGGAGTGTTACAAGTTCTTGGTGCATAAAGAAGATCTGTAAAGTTGCAAAGACTAAAGTCTCAAATCCAAAGAGATATTCTTTATAAAAGTTAAGAGTCAGCCACACCTACCTAAAACGGCTCGTTCTAACACGCCCCCACATATCTACCTCACTATGTGGGAAGATTTGCATAACGCCGCCCAAATGTTCACGCAAAGAAAGAAGGCGTAACTTTTATTCTCACTGTAGTATTGTTGACGCTGCAGCCATGTCGTGAAGGCGCTGTGTGTTTCGTTGTGAAAGCGAAACTGCTTTGTTTGGTCTTCCAAAAGAGGATGATATCCGCTTCGTCATGCCTAGAGCTGATCTGTGCTGGTCGCTGAGGAAATACAACAACTTTGCGCTGTGGATCACTGGATTGGCTTTCACCGTGGACGAAGCAGAGTC